GCTGGTGGAATCATCTGCCTAAAATTCAAGGATATTTCTTTACTGAAGAATTCAAATCAGAGTATCCTGAGGTATCAGGTTAGTAAGAAAAAGAAGGGGCCAAGATCTGAGCCCGAAACATATCAGTTAGCAGCTGAAGAAAACAGAAAGGGGCATTGTCTTAGTCAGGGTTTCTATTCCTGAACAAAACATCATGACCAAGAACCAAGTTGGGGAGGAAAGGGTTTATTAAGCTTACACTTCCTCACTGCTGTTCATCACCAAAGGAAGCCAGGACTGGAATTCACACAGGGCAGGAACCTGGAGGCAGGAGCTGATGCAGAGGCCATGGAGGGATGTTGCTTACTGGCTTGCTTTCCCTGGCTTTCTCTGCTTGCTTTCTTATAGAACCCAGGACTATCATCTCAGGGATGGCACCATCCACAATAGGCCCTCCCACCCTTGATCACTAATTGAGAAAATGCCTTAAAGCTAGATGTCATGGAGGCCTTTCCTCAAGGGAAGATCCTTTCTCTGTGATAACTCCAGCATGTGCCAAGTTGACACACAAAACCAGCCAGTATAGGCATTCAGAACACAACCCTGGAGATCTCCACCATTTCCAGTAAACCAGTGAACCACTGGTGCAGAAGGGAGAGTGACTGAAGGCACAGAATATTCTCTGAGCTCCTGAAGCTTGAGGCAGCTCCTGATCAGAAGAGACTTTGCAATCATACTTCCTTTCCAGGGGCCATGTAGAAGGGACAGAGTGTGTCGGGATAAAATCATAAAGAAAAACTTTCTTTTACTCTAGAAGGCACATCAGGAAGTGGTATTTATTTAAAACAAGTTAATAATACTGCATTTCTATTTTCATGATTAATAATTTTCGTACCTGTTGTTAAAGTTTGTACAGTAAGTAAGGTTTGTACAGCCCAACTGGCAAGGTTCCCGGACATCAGCTAGACATGTCAACATGGACACTTCCACCGGATTATATTCACAGATGCGGTCAAACTCTTGCCAACTCTGTGTATTTCCCCAGCTCATGCTATAAAGTTTCGTGCACAGTTCCCTGAAACAAAAGAATAAATGCAGAACATTAGAGAAAAGACCAATGAATATTTGACCTGTGCAAAACTGCAATTGTATTAATTATTTTAGGAACATAAAGAAAAAAGTACAAATTAACTAGCTCCTGGAAGCTTTGGCGCCACACAAAGTCATCTTCTCCATGAAAAATGGCCTTTTAAAAACCATCTGCAGGTGTCTGGAGAGGCAGCTCATCAATTAAGAGCTCTTCTGGAGGTCTAGATTTGGTTCCCAGCACCCACATGGCAGCAGTTCATAACTGTCTGTAGCTCCAGTTCCAGGTGACCCAACGCACGTCTCTGGCCTCTGAGGGCATCAGGCATGCATGTAAGTGCACAGATATACATGCAGGGAAACACTCATACAAATAAAATAAAAAAAATACAATACAATGTATATATTAAAAATATCGTTTTACAGGACAGAGTGGGACTGAGAGATGGCTGAGCGGGTGTGGAGCTTACATGCAAGCCTGGTGACCTGAGTCTGACCCCCAGGACCCACATTATGGTGGACGCAAAGAATGAAGTGCAGTTTCTGCTGATCTCCACACATGTTCCATGGCATGCATGCCCATCCCACTCCACCCCAATAATAAATAAATAAATCAGTAAATAAATTTCCAAAAATTAAAGAAAAATCACCCAACCCCTTTGCTATGATTGATAGAAAGGTGAATACTACATTTTCCAATCCCTTAAGGTGTTTTGTACATCCTTAGTTCTGACAATTTTTTCCCATAGCTTTCTTACTTCCTCCTTTTCTCAATATGTATTTAAAGTAAAACACAAGGTTTTACCTCCACAAAGGTACAATCTCCTCTAATTATGCTAATCAGAGAAGGCAGTTGCTTTACTAAAGCATTTTAATAGCAACTCTGTGTGAGACTATGTGCCTGGGGTGCTTAACACCTGGGTTCAGTATCCCGGAACCAGGAAAGATGGGGGTGGGGTGAGGTTTACAGAATAAAATTTGTTAAGTCACTTACATTCCTTACATTACCCTCACAACCTCTCCACACTACTGGAGGTGAGCACAACACCCTGATGCTCAGTATTTGGTGACTATACAGCACCTTACACGTTTTTACAGATATAGCAATTCTGCTGTCACATTTCCAAAGTGCTTCTATACACTGAATTCATTAGTTTACTTTTTAAAATAAAAGTAATACATGTTCACTATGAAAATTTGGTATCATTGAAATATACAAAACTGTAAGTAAATATTTCCCACTGTTCTCACAGTTATTTGACTATCAAAAATACCCCTATGAAGAAGGTTTGTTTTCTTAATGTGTGAATGTTTGCCTGCATGTATGTCTGTGCACTGTGTGTGTTAGGTGCAAATGAAGGACATCAGATTTATTGGAACTGAAATTACAGACAGTTGTGAGCTGCTCTGTGGTTGCTGGGAGTTGAACCTGGGTTGGTTGGAAAAGCAGCCAGTGCTGTAAAACACTGACCTAAAGAAAATATCTTTACTCTGCAGTCTGGCTGTCTATTCTTCCAGTAGTCATGAACACTGTTTTATGTGCGTGCTTCTTCAAGGCACTGGTGATGCAGCATCGTTAAACAGACCAGACCCTGGCTCTCACAGGAACATGCACATTTGAGGAACAAGAAGTCAATATTTCCTCTAGCTGTTAACTTTCTATATTTGCCCTGAATAGATTATTCAACATCTCAGAGTTAGTTTCTAACATTTAAAACAGAAATTATATAAATTTCCCCAATTATCTCATAAGGTTTCAGAAATGTCAAGTCTAACGAAATTGAAAGCATTCAGCAAACCATACACCCTGAGTTGTTAAGGTAGCTCAGCAGGTAATACGGCCTGCTGCCAACCTAACACACCCTGGGACCCATATGGTGGAAGCAGAGAACCAGCTCTCAAGTTGTCCTTTAATTTCCACATGCACCACAGCAGACTCTCTCCTAAATGTTAAGAAACAACAATAATACTCTTTAAAACCAAAACTAAGCTGGCCGTGTTTAACAAGCTGACACCTTTAATCCTAGCACTTGGGAGGCAGAGGCAGAGTTTGAGGCCAACCTGGTTTAAACAGTGAGTTTCAGGACAGCTAGGACTACTTAGAGAAGAGTTGTCTCAAAAAACAAAAACAAAACAAACAGCAACACGAGCCATCCCAAGCCCCAGCCACTCAGCACAAACAGAAATTTACTTCTGTGAGTGCTGAAACACTCCTCAGCATCGCTCTCACTAATAACTTCATCAACTTCTGTATGGAAGCCATCTCTGTAACTATAGGGCCAGGTTACTTACAATTAGGACTTTCAATTGACTTTGTTTAGATTCTTTTGTATCTTCAGTAAAGTTTGATGGAGTACCCTAGGCATAATTTCTTTTTGTAATGGTCCATCCAATTTTATGAGAATAAAATATTTTTATTTTTCCTTCAGTATATCCTAGTAATGTTTGGCTCCTTTTTGTGCAAAGAACCTCTAATAAGGCAAACTTCTGTTACATCTTTGCTGTGGTCTGAATGAGAATGGCTCCATGGGCTCATGTATTTGAATACATGGTCCTCAGTTGGTGGAACTATTCGGGAAGGATTAGAAAGGTGTGGCCCTGTTGTAGAAGGTATGTCATTGGGGAGAGGGGCTTTGAGGTTTCAAAGGACTTGTGCTGCCCCACATCCAAGTCTGTTTCATGATTGTGTCTCAAGATATGACTCTTAACTACTGTTCTAGCACTATGCCTGCCTGCTCCCACGTTCCCTGCCATGATGGTCATGGACTCTAACCCCAAATAAGTTAATTCTTCCATAAGTTGCCCTGGTCATGGTGTCTTATCACAGCAACAGAAAGTGACTTTCATTATGATCTCAGGTATCATCTCTACATTGTTTACTCTGTCAACATTTGCATTATTTTTATCTCTGGGTATAATTCCCACTTGATGCTGCTATGATTTGGATGTGAAATAACTCCTCAAAGGCTCATGTGCAGAAGGATTGGTCCCTGGCTGGCAACCCTATTGTGAGAGTTGGCAGGAACTTTAGGAGGTTCAGTTTAGCTGAAAAGTCTGACTGGAGGAAGTAGGTGACTGGGTTCGCAGCTCTGACCACCACACTCCCTCCACTGGAATATTCTGCTTCTCCTCAGAACAAGCCAATGGAGCCAGAGGACTATGAACTGAAACATTTAAAATGGTGAACTGAAATAAATCTTCCTTCATTTGTCTATGGCAGATTATTTTGTTTGAGAACCACCACCCCACCACACACTCACAGTAATTCTCCAGCTAACACAGATGCCTATATCACTAAGGTTGTTATAACAAAAGACTGTTTAAATCCAAAGTTCATTCCTTCCTTCAGCAGTGGGTATCATGTGGCTCAGGATGGCCTTGAACTCTGTATGTAGCTGAGGCTGAAGCTGACCCTCCTGAGTGCTGGGATTATAGATTTGTGTCTCCATGTCTAGTTTATGTAGCATTAGAGGGCTTTATGCATGCTAGGCAAGCATTCTACCAACTAAGTTATACTCCTCATACCAAAGTTTCATAATGTAATAAAGAGACTATTTCTTAAATATCAGATCAAAATATATTCTTCTAAATAATTATTTACATGTATAAGTATATGTTTGTACACATACTTGTGAGTAAAGGGCCTGAAGATGCCAGAAGAGAATATCAGGTCACCCACAGTTGGAGTTAGAGGTAATTTTGAGCCACCCAGTGTGGTTGCTGGAAACCAAACTCAGGTTTTCTGCAAGAACAGTAAGTACTCTTAACCGAGCCATCTCTCCAGGCCCAGCATACTGTAAGCTTAATGACATCACATCATCTTTAAATATTTATTGTCCTTTTAATAGTTAATCTTTTATAACACCACTCAATCTATAAAACAAAATTTTAAAGGGCTGAACTCAAGTTCCATGGGATCCTATGACCTCTTCTGACTTCTGTGGGCACCAGGCATACATGTGGTACATATGTATATATGCAAGGAAATATTCATATATATATTTTAATTAAATTGTCCTTATTTATGTGTGTGTGCACATGCACGCTCACACACAATGTATAGCAGTAAGGGAACAACTTGAGGGAGTATGTTTTCTCGTCTGCCATGTGGATCCCAAGAATTATACTTAGATCATTTAATTAATTAACCAGGCCGGGTGGCAGGCGTCTTTACCTGCTAAGTAGTGACCTTGCTGGCCCTAAAATATTGTATTGTACTTAAACAGTCTTCAGTAAATATTTGCTGAACAAAATAATTAAAGACTTTGGGCTGGTGAGATGGCTTAGTGGGGAAGAGTGCTTTCCACTCTTGCAGGACCCAGGTTCGGTTCCTAGCATGTGCATGGCAACTTACAGTTGTCTGTAACTCCAACTTCAGGGGATCTGATGCCTTCTTGGGCTTCTGGGGGTACCATCCATTCACCCAAATACAGACAGACACTCATAAGCATAAAAGAAATAATATTCTTTAAAAAATTTTTAAAAAGTGAAAGATTTTATATCTTCTATTACCTTTTGCACTGAGAATCGAATCTGTGCATGCTAAGCAGTCTACCACTGAGCTACACTCCCCAGTGTCAGATTTTTTATCTTCCAAATGCTAAGCCTACACAATACAAGAATAAGGCATTTGTTAAAAGTCACCAATTAAAATCTTTTTTCTATTGATCTTGATAAAGGAAAATGAGATACTAACCTACAGATTGAAGTGTTTGCTTTAGAGCAACAGTGCAATTTGGCCCCATCAAGGCCGGTTGAGGGAGGAGGGTGCACAGTGACTCCGGGGTGAACCGACTGCGAGCTTTCGAGAAAACACTGCCAAAGAGGATCTTGAGGCAAGGGCTGGGTCTTACAACCCTCAATGAGACCATCAACAATCTCCATTTCTGTTGTCTTAGACATTAGAATTTTCTTGCAGGCGTTTTGGCAAGCATGGTCTTCAGCTCTGTCACAGCAATATAAACCTACATTCAGGACATAAGCCCTTTATTAGCTGATTTTATAACATTGCTCAGATGAAAAGAACATGGCAGCAAGGGAGAAAACAACAAGCCTCTGTGCAAGTCTCTGCAGTAAACAGGACCTACTCTCTCCATCATTCTGCAATGTTTCTCTTCCCAGAATCCACCACAGTCCCCAGTCAGGAGCACTCTAGAACTATCCTTATAAATTGTAAGTCATCTTACACCTAAGAAGTTCACATAAAACACTTTATTATGCTTTTGAAAGAATACAGCAAATCAAAGTGGGCTTAATCCCTGCTTGTGTCTAGTGGGGACTCCTTACATAAGATCGATGACTAATTTCCATGGTTAAACTCATCCATTTAATCATACCCTAAGACACCACAGACTTTCTTTTAGAAGCTAATTAATATACATTGTAATTTAGATAATATCAACTCTGACAATATCTTCGTTTATTTCTGCCTTTAATTTTCTTTTCTTTCTTGATGATAGGGATTGAACCAGGGCATCAAACATGCTAATGGGCCACGATTTGCCTGTGAATGTCCCCACTCACCCAGCCTTTAATTTTCTACAAAGAACTAAAACCCAAAAGAATACGTTCAGCCAGGCTATAGACTTTGGAATGGTTCTTTCAAGTAGCTTTCTTAGGTGCCTGCATTTGAAGAGGCATACTCAATTTAAAGCCCTCTTTCTAGGTTCCTGTGTTAGGACAGACACTGGAGTTTATTGCTCTACTCTTAAAACCTCTTTCTGCTTTAGTTTTCTTAGAGCTTCTATCCCCTTACTGCGGCAACACTTCAGTGTAGCCTAAATGTCAGGAAACACAGATCAGCTTCAAAATAAATGAAGGCCAGGTGTATGATTTTCGCCACACCACCACATCATAGGATGTCAAAGCCTCAGATTCTGATTTCAATTATGCTCACACAATGCACACCACTTTCAAGAATAATAAAAGAAGCTGTAGAATATTCCAGTATAAACACAAACATCTGCCGTACAAGTCAGCCTTTCGTCAGTCTGGTTGACCAGTCAGCTCTTTAAAATCTGACTGCTTCTCAGTGATTGGAATGGATTCTAGTATATACAAAGTAGGTGCTCTCAAGATCCCGCAAGGACAGATTCATTAGGCAACCTTGATTTTTCAAAAATATTACTCTCTTATTTTTATAATTTTTTATGAAAGTAAGAACTTCTCATTAATAAAAGTTCCAGCATTACAGAAATATATAGTGTAGAACAGCTAAATAGAACTCAGACTACGCTTTCAGTTCTGAAACTTGCTTTTCTTAGTACATCTTGGACTTTCTGAATAAATGTACTCCCCTTTGTTAGTTGTAAAGTGTGGTTATTGCATAGAAATATAATTTAGTCAATATCCTACTAATGCATTTTTGGGTCATTTCTATGTTTTTTCTCATATACATATATGTAAATGTCTAAGTTTTCTTGTATAAATGGCAACATGGAATTTCCTGGTCAAAAGGATTAACCTGATGTACATCAAAGAAATCTGGATGTTTCTCAAGTGAACTGGACCACAGACATCTACATGAATGCATCAGTTTGTAAATGAATTATTTTATCAAAGACTGAGAAGAACACAACCCTTTTACTTACTATCAGTTGGGTTTCTCATTGGATAAGACTGGGTGTAATTGTTGACACAGTGTATCAACTGTGGACTGATAGAGGCACAATAATTTTCCACTGCTTTGATCTGAGATGGCCCAGGAGAAGAGTCTGTTCGAAAAAATGGCTTGACAGAATTCTCGGCAGTTGGTGTGATGCCCTGCATAACTGCAGCATACTGAGCCCACTGTGGAGAAAGAGACAACACTGAAATACAAACAGCTTTTTGTTAATGTAAACTCAGTAAGCAACGGCACAGCTTTGAGTGTGAGAAGTAAAGCATGCCATAGATGATAAACACGTGATTCAGCAGGACTTCAGCCATGGGGCCATTCAAGTGCTCACTGACACATGACAGTCACACTCATCAACTTAACACTCTCTCTAGTTAACTACGTCCCTACCTGAGTAGTGCCACAATCCCGGAAGTGTGCAGAAGCACATTCAAGTATTGCTGGTTGTAATGACAATTTGGGAGCATAATCAGGTGTTTAATGCATGTCACGACTGCTAATGTAAACAAAGCCCCTAAAACTGTCACATTACCAACACTGCCTCCCCAGTGTCCAAAGTGCCCATGCTGAGAAAACAGGAATGGCCTCCTTCCAGGTGCACTTGTGCAGATTTATAGACAAAGCAAAGCCAAACCAAAGAAAACACAATGACAGTGCCTTAAACTTATTATTTGGATCTGTAAAAACCAAGAGAGAGCAAGGCAACTTAATTATTTAACAAATGTGTACTTTGAAGCTGAAATCTCAAAATTTTACATAGTAGGCACATCTGTAAGAATCTTCCTACACTGTAGAAGTCTTCATTTTATAACTAATACAATTTGTCTCAAGTCAAAGCAAAGTCATTTGAAGGTAAGTGACTGCTTTTGTATTTGTAAAATAACCAACGCCAGGCATGTAGCACACGTCTGTCATCACACAGCACTTGGCAGATGGAGGCAGAATGATCACAAACGATGGCCACTCAAACTCCATGAGATGAAAATAAAATGAAACAAGTCCCAACAGCAACAACCCTAGTGGCCAGGAGTGCTGGTGCACACTTGCAATCCCCAGCACATGGCAGGCAGAGTCAAGAGTTCAAGACCAGGCTGGGCTACATATATAGTGAGGCAAACAAGCACACCAAAAAATGCACGACGGATGTCATTTACTGTGGGAAAGGGAAATGTGTGGCTGGAGGTCTGGGTGTGGGAATTATGATGGAGACAGGAGACCCTCCCAGCATCTAAAAGTGTAAGTGTAGCGGGTGCTAAAGGAGCTAGAGGGGCAGCTAAGAATTCCTACGTGATATCAGAAATGGCTACGGGGGAGCCAGAAACAGGGCATCATGAATTCCAAAGAGCAATGAACTTGAAATTGACTTCAAGAACTAATGACGAGTCATGAGTCATGTAAATTAACCAAGTAAGGGTGTGACCTTATAGGACACACCTCAGTTTCCTGGGCCAGAACACTTTTCCATACCTACTGTGTACTAGCTTTGACTTATAACTACTCACAAGTTTATGTCTACTGCCAAAGAACATACGTTCATTTTGGGGAACTGCTTTTCAGTACTGCTGTGTGTGGTGCTGGAGGTGACAAGGACTTTAGGTGTCTAAGCACACACACACTCTACCTCTGTGCTATATCTCCAGCCACACACAGAGGTTCTGGCTGCATTTATTAGTGTACACTGCAATGGTGGTGCTCTGGGAGTTTCAGTGCGTGAAGTGAAATAGGATCAAGTGCCTGTCTTTTGATTCCTCTATTGGCTTAGCTTCCTTGCTGGTGTGGGAGCACCCAAGATTATCTGCCAAAGACTATATGGTACACTCTGAACTAGGCCACAGTTTGACAGAATAGAAGTGCAAGACTGTGTGTTATTCTTCAATACACCACATTAGCAAGCAAATCCAGCCAACTGCTTGTTCCTCGGTTGTCTTTTCCCACTTCTAACTGTTGGTCTCAACACACCCTTCAGATAGTATGCTGCTCCTTCACTCTCCGCTGTACACATCTTTGTTGGCTTCTCTTTCATTCCCCTTCCACAAATATCTTATTTACCTTCAAGGCCCAATTAACCTACGAACTCCATGAGGTCTCTTCTAAGCAATGTTGCAATGAGATCCTGCGAACTGCTTCCCTGTATCAGTGTGGTACCTCATATTCTCCTCCATTTCCAAGTTCTTTGTGTTCTGGCCATGTACCCCACAGACAAGTGTTTGCAACACACCAGGCAAGTATTCAATAAATATCTGTGGACTGGACTGAAAGCAGCCCTTAACAAGGACTGTATCATGTATGGTTTCTCAAAAGTGACCCTATTATTGGTGTTATCTTTCTCTAGTGATCTAACTAGAGTGTTGGTTTATAAATATGCAGTTGGAACACAGGACTTGCTAGAGTACATAAATGATTTGAACAGGCAATGGCTTGGCAGATTCCTGTGTGCCTGCTTCTTCAGATGGCTTAGAAGGTGTAATGCTAAGGATATGGGCAATCAGTCCTGACTGTTAACTATGTCTGTAAAATGTCTTCTTCTCTGGACTGCTTGTGCAATCATTGACAATATACTTACTTTCATTTCTGCTAATGCAACTGAAAGAGCATTCTGTAAATTAAAGAAAAACAAACAAATTAACAAGCAGAATTTCTAATTTCATTCCATTTTAGAATTACATGGAAATCAGGGTATCATATTTTTAATTCTTTTCTAAATTCAAGGCTGCAAACACAGAAGCTTTGAAACAACTTCCTGGTTCAGAGTAGCCGTCATGTAGCCGTGGTAGGGAGGGACCTAAGTTGTGAACTGGCGTGTGAGGAGCACAGTACCGTGTGAGGGAGGACAGTACTGTGTGAGGAGCACAGTACCCTGTGAGGAGCACAGTACCCTGTGAGGAGCACAATACCGTGTGAGGGAGGACATGCGTCTAGAGGGGATCACTGTGTACTGATTTCTACTTTTTCTTGTAGAGTATAAAACATTTTTTAGAAAATAACATAATAACATATACTCGGACATACATTATTTCCTGTAATCACTGCATTTTCAAGTTGATTCAACCTCAGAAATGACCTCTAATTGTTTTCAGCATGACTGCAGTGGAACCTCCCAAACTTCCCAGCCTATCCCATGTGACAGAAACCTACATTTTATACAACGTTTCAAAGATAGCTTTCATTTAGTCTTCTTGTGACCAGAGTTTGGGAAACTCCCTAGCATTTTACAGAGGGAAGCATGCCTTAGGCAGAGGAGACCTGCACTAGACCCCAGAAGTTGCTAAAAGCAGAGTCTGAGATCAGAACCAATTTTTCTAGAAGTCTTAGATTATTGTTCAGAATGTCCTACCCTGTTTAAGTCATTGCCTGAAAAATAAGGGAAAGCAGGAAAGAAAACGAGAAAAAGACAAAAGAAACAAAACAAAATAACAACAACAAAACTCTTCTTGTCCAAAACCATTAGGCTATGCAGGGCGTGTCAGCTATGAGTCAGTATGATCCATAACTGGAATGGAACAACTTACTAAAATAAATGTGCAAACATAAAGCATGGATGGAAATCAGATGTACCGTGACCATCAAGTCCAGCTAAGTGACTGGACTTAAAGGACCATCTTTAGTTAAGCATGGTGGCATATGCTTGTAATCTCAGCACTTGGGAGACTGAGGCAAGAGGATGTTGAGTTTGAAGCTAGCCTGAGCTACACAGTGAGCTTGAGAACTTGTCTCAAAAAAAAAAAGAAAGAAGAAAAAAGAAAAAGAAAAAAGAAAAAGAAACAACAAAAAACACAAGTAAAAAAGACCAGCGTTACCAACCTTGGAAATCCAGCTTCAAAGGCTTTGCAGACATGGTGGCTACCACCTGTGACCCATCACTAGAGAGAGTCAGCCGAGAGGTCTGTCACTGATGTGAAGCCAGCCTGAACTACATAGTGCATTTTGGGTCACCCTGGGATACAGTGGAAGACTGTTCAAACAGCCAAAAGAAAAGTCTATCTATATTGTTGACGAAGCTGCATTGCATTGCTTCTCTCTACCTAACGATATTCCATTGTAGGGGGAACCCACAGTGCACTTATTCATTCAAACAAAAGTGAGTAAGTTAACAAATAAGCAAACCTGGCTCTCATAGGAAGGGACAACGAATTCCTCCAGGGTGCACTGTTTCAAGCTGGCTTCACACCAGGGATGACACCTGATGCCTGCAGTCATTTTCTGTTATTGAAAGTGTGGCAGACTGCCGGGTGGGTGGGCGGTGGAGGCGCACGCCTTTAATCCCAGCACTTGGGAGGCAGAGGCAGGCAGATTTCTGAGTTCAAGAGTTCGAGGCTAGCCTGGTCTACAGAGTGAGTTCCAGGACAGCCAGGGCTACACAGAGAAACCCTGTCTCAAAAAACCAAACCAAAAAAAAAAAAAAAAAAAGTGCGGTGCAGTGGGCACTAATTAGCTTCTTGTGAGTAGAGGCCATAAAGGTTGCTGAGTACAGGTCAGATGTCCCTGGTCTCTAAGGATCCAGACGGCAATGTCAATCATACCAACTCTCCATAACCCCGCCTTAACATGTATTAATTTGTTCAAGCTAGCTTTTAAAAATTTGAGCTTATAAGCAAGAGAAATATCACTTCCAGTTCAGTCGTATGATCACTTAGCTTAAGAGGAAGGCACTAAAGGAAATAAAGGCTCGGGTTTCAGAGGCTGTCTGATTCAACATCCTTATGTGACTGAGGTCACAGGAGGGAGAAATAGCTACAGAAGCCAGTCTTCCCCCAACAGGGCAAACAATGCAGAGAGTTTGCAAACTGCTGAAGGAAAAGGAGGACAAAACCTGTCTTCCTTGATGTCACCTGCAGAGTATAGACATTCCCCAAGCAACTATATCACTTCTCTTAATGTTTTCCTGGATGTGTAGAATGAAATCTTGATTTTTTACACAGAAGCACCATTAATGTTAATAAATTACTTCTACATCTTTACTCAGTCTATGGTTTAAAAATGTTTTGTCTGGGGCTGCAGAGATGGCTCTGTGGTTAAGAGCACTGGCTGTTCTTTCAGGGGACCAGAGTTCAATTCCCAGTACTCACATGCAGCTCACAGCTGTCTGTAACTCCAGGTCCAGGGAACCTGACACTCCCACACAGTCATATATACAAGCAAACCACCAATGCACATAAAATAGCTAAATAAATAAACCATTAAAATATAAAAATATGTTCTGTCACTTTAGCGATATGAAGTCATTAATCTGCTACACCCATTTTGACTTTATAGATGGATCATATCCAGCTTTGATAAAAGAGTCCTATGTTTGTTATACATAATCTTCATTCTTTTTAAGTCAGCTGTCCTCAAACTTGCATTCCTCCTGCCTTAAATTTCCAAGTGCAGAGATTACAGGGTGTGCCACCGTGCCTGATTATCAGCGACTCTTTCGATGTTTGAGCTACTGTTGATTATTGATAGGCCAAAGGAATATGTATGAATTACAGCATTAGTTTATAATTACTTCATGTCTTTTTTTTTGTTTTTGTTTTAGGATTTTATATATTATTATTGTCTTCAGACACACCAGAAGAGGGCATCGGATGCCCGTTACAGGTGGTCGTGAGCCACCATGTGGTTGCTGGGAGTTGAACTCAGGACCTCTGGAAGAGCAGTCAGTGCTCTTAACCGCTGAGCGGTCTCTCCAACCCACTACTTCATGTCTTAAATCACCTAGTCTGGTGTCTTAGCTAGCTAAGTCTTTCAAATGTCTGATCGCCATCTGCTGGCAGGAACAGGAAGTTAGTGTTCACATTCTCTAGTATGGAGGCCTTTCCATGACCTGCTTACACTACCACACCCACGGGACCTCCACCGAAGAGCGCTTAATCTGATTTAACAGACAAACACTACAGTGGTACTGAGGTGAGGGCATACCGCACTAGAAACCCAAGAACACACCAGTGTACTGAGACTGACAGGATCCGAAGATCAACACGGGCAACAGGATAATGATTTCAAACATAAAAAGAGAAAGCATTATCATCCCATTTCTGGCCACAGCTCTGACTGATCCTCAGTCTTACCTTACTTTCTCCTTAGGCCGGGAAGGGGTTCCCTCCAGGTCCCAGTGTATCTCCTGCATGTTTCTAGCAGTGTGCTTGCTCACTGTTTCTAAGTCTATGTGGATTCCTCTTCTCACGGCCTAGACTGCAAGCTCTTGGCAGACAGTGGCTCATCACTGAGGAAGTTCCTACATGCACTGGTGTATCAGCTCACTGCATCATCAACTCAACGAATGTTAAGTAAATGAATGTGAGACAGATACAAAGACAACTGCAGAGCTCTGCTCCAGGGACTCAGAGGCCGGTATTAACTAAGATATACTTAGGAGATACATACGTGCATACATAAATACATACACACATACATAAATACATACACACATACAT